ATAGGAGTGGTAGCTATAGCTGAAATAGGAAAACTAGAAACAGGAACTAGTAGAAGAGGAGCTATAAATAGCAATTTTAGGTAGAAACGTTGCCTGAAAGGGGAATTCAAATTCATGAAAAACAACATATCTAGAGATGAGGAGTTTATCGTATTTATACCCTTTAAAATGTGGAACTTAAACTCGAAATATGCATGGGATTGAGTGACGATCAACCTTTGTAGAGAAGTAGCATCGTAGCCAAGCACACACAAAGCTGAGAATAATCAGGAGGTTGATCATAGAGGAGCTGATACGGAGAAATATTATTTGAAATGAAAGACGGTAACCGATCGATAAATTAAACAATAGATAAAAATGTATCAGTCCAAAAGTATTAAACTAAATGACAATCTACACAGTGTCTGAAATGTGTCAATACTAATGCTCCACGGTACCATTTTCTTCAAGTATATGAGAGTAGAATAATTGGTGTATAATGCCAAAGTGCGTTAAGTATGCTTCGTGTAGATTTGCTATAGTATTCCTTGCCTCCATCAGTTTTAAGTATTTTTTATGTGATGATTTTATTGGTTTTCAACAAGATTTTTGAACTTAACAAAGCACGAGATAACAAACCTACAATACTAAGCAGCAAAAAGGAATTTCTCCTTTCCACTCTCCCCACTAAGGGTATTAGGATTACCTTACCTTCTAGCATACTACTAGGTAACACACACACACACACACACACACACACACTTTTGCTCCATTCAATATACCATTTATTGTTCACGATGTAAAGAGAAGCCCTTGTGCTTCGTCCCTCTGTTTGGTGCGATATTCATGGAGCAGCTCACAAAATTTGTCTCCTGAATTTTCTCATCGTATCAGAGCAACCAGGTTACCAAAAGTATCATAGAAACTCATCACTGAAAATTACCCAATTTGGAAACCCCAAATCTACAAACTCTTCAAAGCGAATGGTTTTGAGAGCTTCCTTGATGGCACTGCAATATGTCCCCCATCTCAAACCAACACGCCAGCCGGTGACCTCCAACCTCCACTTCCTACGCTGGCAACTCATCAATCAGAACCTCTCGTTGCCATCTACTCCACCATATCCCCCCCCACAATCTTGCCCTAAATTCTTAACCTCTAATCTACCAAGAAAATATGGCAAACCCTTCAAAATCGACTGCAATCCACAAATCGATCCCAGTCATCCAACTCGGGAATGAGCTTCACCACATTTTCATTAAAAACAAAACTGTCTCAATATCCTTTGGTCATTAAATCCCTCGTCGACAACCTAACTACTGCCAAAGGTCATATTGATCATGAGGACATCATCCTCCATATCCTTAATGGCCTACTTTCCTCCTACCATCCTTTAAAACAATCATCAGTACAAGATCAAAATTGATCAAGCTGGATGACTTGTATTCCCCATTCTGCAGCGAAGAGATCAACATCTCAGTCGATCATGCCAAAGATTGCCCTGTTTAGAACTCGAGGAAGCCAAAACGGTGCCAGGGGGCACGGCTAACGCCCCTTCAATGCTAGGGGGCACCACAAGACATCGCTTCCAAATAGGAGAGGTCGCGGTGTTGGATCTATCTCTGATAGACCAACTATCCAAATCTGCAACAAAATCCGACACATCGCACTATAATGTTGGCATCAATCCAATTTCAGCTCCTACCCCTTAACAAAATTTGATTCAGGTCTAATGACCTCTACCAAATCCAACTCAGATGACTAGTTCCTTGACTTCGGTGCTACCATTCACCTCACCTCCAACTACGATCATCTACAACATGCCAAGCCATACACAGGACCAGATTCAGCAATCATTAACAATGACTGCAACCTCCCAATCATCCACACTGGTCAAGGCATTCTACCTACACCTCAACTTAAGCTCTACCTCCCCAAACTCTCGCACTCTACCTTCCTACCACAAAATCTCCTTTCTGTTCAAAATTAGTTTCTAACAATAATTGTGACATCTCTTTAACCAAATCTAGTTTTGTTATCAGGTACTGAAAAACAAACCAAATCCTCCTCCAAGGCCCTAGCAAGGGCGATCTCTACCCTATATCCGCTTTGGCCGCCATCCACTCAACTCCTACATCCGTCCAACTTTGGCATAGAAGGCTTGGGCACCATCATCATGCTACCACAACAACCATCTTTAGAACAACTACAATTATACCTAGTCTCCATTCTTCTATTTCCCATAATGAATGTAACCCTTCCAAGGGTCATCAACAATCATTTAATATTTCAGTTTCTGAGTCTAAACGTTGTTTTGACTTTGTTCACCCCTGATGTTTGGGGTCCTGCGCCAACCCCTTCAATACAAGGATATAAATATTTCATTCTCTTTTTTGATGATTTCTCTAGGTTCACTTGGGTGTTCCTTATGTTTGCCAAATCTAAGGCAACTACTAAATTCATAACATTCCATAAAATGGTTAAAAAACAATTAAATATAAATATCAAAGCACTCAGATCCAACGACGGTGGTGAATATACATCTCATACCTTGCACACATATCTCACCTCCTTCGGCATAATTCACCAATTCAGTTGCCCTTACACACCCAACAAAATGGGGTAGCCGAGCGCAAGCATAGTCACCTAATCAAAACACTATAACTCTCCTCATCACCTTCCACCTACCCTACAAATTTTGGACAGCAGCTCTGTTGACTGTCGCCTACCTCATCAACTGCATGCCGCTTCCAAGACCACAAAACTCAAATCGCCCTACGAACTCATCCATCGCACACCACCGACATATACCCATCTTTGCACCTTGTATGCCATTGTTTTCCATGGCAAAAGCCTCAAGCCCCACATAAACTTGCCCCTTTCTCCCCCCATGCATCTTTATTAGTTATCCACCCTATCACAATGGCTACTACTGCTACAAACCTCATACACGACAAATCATAATATCATGCCATGTGGTCTTCAACGAACTCACATTTCCCCATCATTCCTCATCAACCTCAACTCCGACCTCCATATCCTACGTCTCACCGAGTTTCCTTATACCAACATCTCAACCGCCTAACCAAGCAACTATCTTTCCCAAATCCTCCCAACCACCACATACCACCACTCTCCCAAGAAAACCAATTACAAACCTCCACATCAATCCTCCCACACATTCCACCCCCTACGACAACCACCCGCCCCATGAGAACCCGCTCTCAAACCAGAACACTTAAACCCAAATAATTTCTAAACTTACATGCAACCACCTCACCCACATCCAACCTGACAACCTATACTCAGGCAATCACATCTTCACTGGTGCAAAGGTTGTGCCTATTGAATTTGAGGCACTTCAATGCCAAGGCACTTGGGTCCTTCTCGACCCACCCCCTCAAGATGGAACAGCTCCAAAATTCCAAGCAAAATTGGTTGCACAAAGTTTCAAACAACAACATGGCACCCAATATAATGAAACCTTCAGCCCTGTAGCCTACAATTTGGATACTTCTATTAGTCAATATAACTTCAAATCTAACTTTCATTGAAAATTCCTAACAATAACAAGACCAATCATCAAAAAATGAGTTGTAATATTTAAAATTTTGAGATGATTGAGGATGGACCTAAACATCACAACAAACAATTTCTAAAGTGATACAAAGGTAAGCAAATGATATGCTAAAAGGAAACCAATAGCAGTTAGCCACCTTACAAGCAGCGGAAAAGTGGAAGCTTAGAAGCATACATAAAGTTGGCATAAACATTGATAAAATAAAAAAGATACCTACTTGCATCTAATGTCGAATGTTGATCCAAAGAAATACTCGGGTTGTTGGTACGTACAACATCACTTGCTTGAGTACTTTCTTCACTACACAAGGGTGAGTATAGATCATCCAAACTTATTGGCTATAAGTTTATCCGAACAGCAAACTAAAAAGTTTGATAATTTGGATGAAGGACATTTAAAGTGGAGAGAATAGTATATTTAGTGCTTAATGAAGCATCAAATGCAGCCATTAAATTGACTTTACCCTTGATTTTAGACAAATATTGTGTCATAATTTGAGTAACCATGGTAATAATGTAGGCGTACTTTTCGAGTTGAAGAATAAAAGCTCGATAGTGGATTGTAGGCAGCGCTCGAGAGTAGCCCAAATATCCACACAAGAATCAAGTTAAGCACAAAGGGTAAATGAATGCTGAAATGTTAAGAGTAAAGTGTTCATGATAGATTTTGATCAATGAGGAGCAAAGAGTAATAGTAGGGACTGTTGCTAGTAGACCCATCTTGGTTTATGATGGTAGTGGCAGGACAGAAAATAGATCTGTCAAGGTATCCCTCAAAACCATTTGCTCAAATTAACTTGAGAAGTTGAGATCATGTAGGATGATTATCTACAGCGAGCTGGAACTGCAGCGATATATGAGTATTATTTAGGCTGTAAAGCACCTAACCATGATACTCAGATAGAAAAGAGCTCTTCAAAAGAAAGATGAGATATGATTTTTACAGAAGAAAAAAGTAACAGCTAAACACATCTACATCTTAAGAAACGAAACCCCCTTTATGTAATAAAAGCTATGAGGAAATGCATCAGAGTAACAGTGTGGTTATAGAATGGGCGGATAGGATGCTTATGCATTTATGTAGGTAGAGATGAATAGCCAAGATATATTCTGCTCAAACTGGTGAAGAGTATACTGTTATTATATTCTGCACAAATGGCTGAGAGTTTACCAGTCTACTTAAAAATCCTTCTTTCACACCATAAAAAAACCCTCGGAGAGATACCTGCCTTTCCTCTCAATCTCTTAGGTTTCTCTCCTCCCAAACCTACTTATAGCTTTCGCGCGTCAAAGATTCCTCTTTACATACCAACATGAGCAAAGCAGATGGGCAATGGATGACAATTTTAGCCCCTTAAGCCAAAATTTAAGGCGTCAATGTGCAAAATAATCACGCAGGAAATGGAGAGGATAAATAATCACCAAGCAAGAGAGGACCAAACCTGAGTAAAATAGTCCAAGGCCCGGGAAAATTCTCCCTTCGCCTGGAACTCCCGTGCAAGGTCGAGCAGGCGAACGGCTTCTCCAATGCGGCGGGATAAAGCAGAGCTAGCATCCTTCTCGGCGTCAGTCACGGGATCGAAGCCTGACGAAGGGTCGGCGGCAGAGTTACTGTGGAGGAATAAGAGGGCAGACATGGGGAGCGAGAGGAAGAGAAGACCTCTCCTAGTGCTGTTCTTGCTCCGGGCCTCATGAGGGATCGAAGCGGCTAGGGTTTTCTTCACTTCTATTGGTCGACAATGGGGAATCCGAGGGAGATGAGGGAGATGAGGGAGCCGATATGAGATTGCAATGCAAGCGCTCATGGTAGTCGCGGCCCGTGGTTGCCACACTGGAACTTTCAGATTCCCTTTCCATGATAGCAGAAGTTGTGAGCTTACGTGGCTGGCGATGTATCCAGAACTTCGGAGCTTCTACATCATTCTCACCTTCGATTCTACATTTTGAACTGCAAGTATTAAGCTTGGGGTTCACTTGGTTGTTGTTGGTTGAAAATAAACTTTATTAAATAAATATCACCTTCGATTCTACATTTTGAACTGCAAGTATTATTTTTACAAGTAAGCTTGGGGTTCACTTGGTTGTTGTTAGTTGAAAATAAACTTTATTAAATAAATATTTTTTGTTAATTTATTTAATTGTAAAAATATTAGTGTCATACTTAAACGAATTTTAAATTCTTGATCAAATTCCAAAACATCGTTAACCCTGCTTCCTTCTTGAATGAGTAAATTTTGTTTAATCTTTGATTTAAGGACGGATCCCGACTCTCATCTGTATGGTAAGGCCCTCACCAGCTGTACTCTGGTGCTGATAAGTTTGTTGTGACGGCTCAGTATGGATCTATATCAGTTGCTTACATTTATCAACTAATGTCTTCGTCCCTGATTTCTTTTCAAACGTCTTTACCGACTTTGGTTTATCTACCTTCTCTAAGAATCCGAGTTGCTTAGCCTCCTCTTGCAAGCTCGCAATTTTGCTTAGTAGCTTCTCAAAAGTCTTGATTTTGAATTATTTAAGCAAGAAAGTTACTGGTCCATGAATGTTCTTGAGTAAGATCTCAATTGCATACTGCTCCTGCAATTGAGGCTCAAACTTTATGTTGAGATTCCTCAAACACAGAATTTAATCTACTAACGTCTCAGTCGGTTTTTATCGCTTGTCGCTGGACCACAAGATCACCGACCATGATGTGGTGTTGAGTTCTAACAAATCTTTTGACAAACAAGCTCTCCAACTCTGTGAAGGTCTTTATCAATCTATTAGTTAAATCTGTATATCAATCGAAGGCAACTCCTAAAAGGCTGCTCATAAACTGTTGAAACAAAAGTGTTTTGTTGCCCCCCGGATTACAACAACTTGTGAAGTGTGTCACATGTTGTCGGGGGTTCCCTGTCCCATCAAAGGACTTGAAATTCGGCGATACGAATCCTTTGGGGTAAGGTACCCTATCGAGCTCCTCCGGAAGGTCTACCCTTCAGAACCAATGCTCCTCCCTTGGACTGGGCCAATGCTTCATTTACTTGTTGTTTCACCGTCTGATTTATATTCTTTTTCGGTACTATCCTTTGTGTTGAATTTTCCCTTGGTTGTTTGTCTTTACTGGAGGAGGTGAACTCCTTCTTCCCATCTGAGATGTGAACAAGTTTTGGCTGATTTACTTCCGGAGAAGCGACCTTTGGAGACTGGGGTTGACTTTGAAGTGCATCCACAATGGTCATCATCTCCTCCAGCCTCTTCTCCATCCAACTAATATGTTCATCTCGCAGTTAGATGACCCTCTGTAACTCATCAGAGGCATTCTCCTTGGCGGGTTGTGGAGCATTGCACAATGATGAAGACGCTCGAGTCTCAACCACATGAATTCTGGCATATTCCTCCTCCATATAATCCGACAAGTCATAATCTTCATCATTTTCATCCTTCTATTGTTCTCTTAATAACTCTGCAATATCAATTCTAGGCTTCGCTAACGTATCTTTGATTGACTTCCCTTTAATTGTCTTAAGATCGACTAGCGACCTCTGACGAACAACTGCACTAGTATCAAATTATGATACAACAACAGGCATCTCGAACTTAAGATCCTTTTCAAAGCAACTATTTTCTGCACTTTTTTACGGTATTTGGCCAGCAGCCCTGGGTCTCCACCTCTTCCCCTTTTGAATTGAGGTACAGATATGGGGTGTCCCGTTGATGGTATCAATATGGCAGAGGGAAGGATGTCCCCTAGTGTGTGAGTTAAATACAGCGACGGGCAATCCCTTACCATTGCTTA